TTTTTTGGAAATCAACTTATCAACTTCTCTAAAAGCAGGCCAGTATTATAATGATACAATGATAGTTATATAATGTATTTCAACTCTATTCACAACTATTCCAGTCCCATGGAGAGTCTGGGTGCATTCACATCTGCCAACGTGGGGCACCACGTATTCTGAACCGAAGTGTCCGAACTTCTCGACGAGTCACTCCATGAAACCGTTTGAGGATATAGAAATACTTCACACCCCAAATTCAGGGACATCTTGTGAAGACTTGTGCATACGGAAGGCTTTTTTGGACACATACCACCTCCAAAAACCCTCCAACTCACCATGTGATCCGCGTGAAAGTCCAAACATTCTTTCAACATTTCACCACAGAAAGCTCGAGCACCAGCATTCACAAGACGGGGTGCCGAACTTGGAGGAAGTCGGGGTGCCCATGAATTATCCACTCACTGGCTGGGACTAAACACCACCACTTTGTGACTCCTGGTATATATACTGTGCCGAAAAAGAAATATGTTCGCTTCGTCCCCAGTGGCACAGCCCATCTCGTCTGACTGCCCGCACCCCTCGACGTCCCGAAACGGGGGGGCTAGCTTCGCGCGCGCTGCGAACGTCCACGCCTGGTCCAATCCACTTGCTGGACCGGAACTCCTGGACCGTGTGGAGACCGCGGAGAGACCACGGGAGGAGGAAGGAGTGAAGCTTCGGTGGACGCTTTCTTCGAAAAAAACACGTGGAGGTGGTGGTGTTCTTCGGTCTGAGACGCTAATGCAATGGGCAATGAATGGTGAGAGTGGCCTGAAGGTGATGATCTCACCGTTCAAAACGAGCTCCCGAATTTCTAGAAGACCCCAAAAGCCTGATGCAGCAGCTCTCCTGCTCTCCTGTTGGTGGATCCAAGGATCGAGGCCACAGGATCTCACCCGTTTGGTCTCCGGTCGCACCTTCGTTTCGTTTCAGTGGGACTGGGGGCCTGGGTGTCATGTTCGGGTCCCATACCGATGGTGGTTTGGAGGTACGACTGGAGGTATAGGGACTGAAGGATCTCACTTTTTCTGATCACACAGTCCTTGCAGCTCTGTGAGCCGAACAAGCTCCACGCCACGCCACGGCAAAGGACGCTCGCTCGCTTTCCCTCGCTCCGTTCCGCCGGCCGCCCCGGGCACCGCGGGTCCGTCCTGCAACTTGGCTGGTGATCATATGATCTAAGCGTTTCGCTCGGAACGGCCCTAAAACCGATTCATCCGGGTCTTCACTCGGAGTGGGATAAATCAAGGTGTCTGAGTGACGCAGAGTTGTGGGAATATGGAACGAAGGACTGATATTGAATAGTAGTTCATAGTAGAACAGTTGACTTATGTTCAGTTCTTGTTCTATTCGTGTTCAGAGATGTTCAGAGAGTTGCTGTTCCAGGGTTACTCACAAATCAGCTTAATGTTTGGCCTAGGGCCTATTGAGCAACTCGATTCCGTGGTTAAAACCGGGCTAAAACAGGAATCACTCCGTAACTGCACCAACTTCTTTGCTTAAATCAAGCTGTTCATCAACAAACATCCCCATGGTTTTTCGCCAGCCGCCAGCCCTTCTGCCTTGCAACTCCGCAGCCACCAATGGAAGTAGCAAAAGATGCACCTGCAAGAGAGTAGCTCAAAGTCTCTCCCCTCTGCCCCCAGGCAGGGCGCCAGGGTGGTTGGTACCTTCATCGGCCACACCTCCATGGTGGAGCATTCTGCAAGCCATGTCACGTGCAGGTGACTGGGTCTGGCGCACCACCCAAGCAGCTCGCATAAAACAAAGATGACAAACATCGAAGTTCTTAGCCTCTTAGCAAATCATGTGATCAACAACAGGGCGCACGATGGTATAAGCTCTCTGAAGGCTCTCTTTCTTTGCTGATTGTTGATCTGTTTGATGTATTGCATCATAGTCCCTATTGGAATCCAAGTGCCAGAGCTAGCAAGCTGTCAAGCTGTCAAGCTGTCTTTGTCTCGGACTCGCTTGGGTCATGATAGATCATGATGATCCTGCTTATCAAGGATCAATCTGGGCATCCTGTGAAATAATGACCTGTACGATTCAAACACAAAATTTCATGCGATGTCAACCTGAGTCAATTCCTGTGTCAATTTCTCTGCTATTCTCAGAGCTTTCTCGTGATTCAGGATGCTTGAGCCAAGACTTCCGGATTGGTATCCAATGATGCAACAAGAAGAACTCTAAATATTCATTGCTATCTTCATAACATTGAGCTTTTATTTGTGTTCATCTCCAAGAGGTGAAATCAATTTCTCAAGGGAACATCTTTCAGGGTTTTCTGCAGGTCAACATCCCTTGCTCCCATCAATTGCCTGCGCCGGGCCAGCCGGCCTCGGATTCATGACTTCACACATTCCAAGTGCCTGATGGAAGCTGATCAGTACAAATCTGATGCCCACTCCTGATGATGTTATCTCACAAAACAGTGCAAATGGACCAAATTTGTGGCGTTGTGCCATCTACTCTGAAACCACTGTAAAGAGGGTGAAAATCGCCAGAAACAGAATCAGAATTACTGTAACCTCTAATCAAGAGAACATGATCGTTTCTTGGACTCGAAACAAGAAGAAAAAGAACTCTAACATACTCTAACCACGTGGTTAAAACCATTCAAAACAAGCTGATCTTCGACCCTTCGGTCCTTCCAAACGAGGGGACTTGCTCCTTCTTCTTCTTCTTGGCATCCCATCCGAGCTTCTACCGGTGAAGCCGAAGCCGCTGGGTGCCGCACGACGCGGCGTCGGCCGGCTTCGGCGGTGGAGCCGATGCCTCCGGCGCTGGGAGGAGTGATGAAATACATGACTGGCATGACTGAGCACGGCTGATCAGGACTGATCATGTGAGCTTTAAGGATCTTTAATTGGGCTGTACCTCTTAAATAAGGTAATGTGAGATGGGGTGATTTTTCGCTCCTTGGGACTTGCTCGTTGTTGTTGGCTAGGATTTTGCTGTTTCGTACCTGTTTTCTGTTGGTCTCCATCAGGATTCCAGGAATTACTGTAGGCTTTTCCTGTAGCTAGTGGACGAAAACTCTCTCTGGCCCCACAGGGCTCGCAGGTGCCTCCCCCACCCTTTCGACCGCCACATGCCGCACGTTTCCGCATCACCTTCGAGACCACGCCGGGCACTGGTCCTGCTGGCCTCATCAAGGCGCAGACATGAAAGTGGATATGATTTGGACAGGAAATCAAATCACCTTCACGTTTGGACGTGATTTGTGTGGCTTTTGAACATCCAAACTCACCCAAACGAAGCTTCAACTTGCCATGAAGCGAAGAAGAACAACTTGTCTTCAAGTGGTTCTGAGTCGACATGAAGCTTCAACTTCACATTCTGACTGCCTAGACGCAGTAAAGAACCCTGCTAAGTAGGGGTACCCTGATATGGAGGGTCCAAACACCCTCAAATCCCTATGGTTTTGAGGGACCAGGAAAGGTCTGTAACAGGAGCGTCTGGGTGGGAATGGGTGGGATGAGTTTGAAGTCGGGTCCAGCGAAGCAGTCATATCCGGACTGCACTGTAAGGACCATCGGAAGAGAAGCCGCCCAAGATCGCGCCGAAGTTGGAGCGACCGATTCATTGAGAGGTTCGGCAGACTGACCAAAGGTTTTTTCTGATAGGAGGTCGGCATATTCTCTAGCGTCGTTTCATCAAAAGCCCCTCGCTTCCACATCCTACTTCAGCTATAGGTACTGGCACTTGACAAAGATCTGTCCGCAGATGTTGAAAGTACCCGTATAGGATTGCCCATGTGTGACTCCGTCGTAACTGCGACGTCGTACGTCTTCCTGAAAACATCCTCGCCATTTCTGCCCAAACACGACAGGCATGCGACTGGCACTGAGGCTGGCAGCTGATCAGTTCAGGCTCATGGGGTTTCACGAGTCAATGAGGCATCAAATACCTATAGGATCCACCAAGGGCCCATCAAAAACCTGGTGTTCCCTAGCAAAAAGCATGTTTTTTTTGTATATGTGAAAACCTGTGTTTTTCATGGTTTTCAGGGCCCCTACAAACATCGAGTGTGGTTGCGAAGCGCCCGGTGTTTCGTTGAGAGTCGAGTGGGCGCGCTCGACTAAGATGCACACACCGATGGAGCTGCCTCCGCAGAATAGGCCAACCGTGGAAGAGTGAGAACGGGAGACATCTGGATCTACCCCAAAACAGATTCAATGGGTGGAAGACCCTGGAAGATTCTCACATTCTCAGGTGGTGCGTAAAATTTTCCAAAGAGTCGTGGGATGGATCTTTCACCACATCGAAATGCAAGGCAAAAGAAAAACACACATCCAGCCGCGTCCTGACACAAACACGTATACAGCTCTGTAATACCCAAACACAACATGTCATGCCGTATTTAACCATACATTGGGGTGATCTCAGCAGTCAATGTAGGCATATGGCATATACATATGGAGTGTCTGGCTTATGACGTACATCGTTCAAACCGCGCCGCGCGGGGCGGGGCAAACCAAACCCCGCCGCGCACCTGCAAGGCTGTCATGGGCCTTGGAGCTGAATGGGCCGATCAGCAAGCTGCTTTGAGCTCCAAATCAAGCTCTATAGGCCTAATCAAGCTCCAAATCAAGCTCTAGCCTCTAGCCTTCATCCAATTCAACCTGCTTGCGCTCTCCCGAGCCCGAGCCCGGTCGGATCGCCCCGCGTCCACCAACTCGCGGCGAGCCGAGCCGAGCCGTCCACCCCCCGAGGTTGGTGCGTCCCAAAGCCGCAAGCGCCGGGAAAGCCGGGAAAAGCACCGGGAAAGGCGCCCAAGAGGTGCCGCCTGAGATGGTTGGGCAGGCCAGGGGAGGGAGAGTCTTCAGCGAGCCAATAGCGAGTTCACGGGAGTGATCTTCCGACCGGGACTGGAAGAGTGACCGATCCATGTAACCCCCATGAAATGACCCCATGCCCAATCCATCCAACAAATCCATGGGCCCATCATCAAGTCTATGCTGGATGGTCTGGGGAGGAGTTGATGGGATTTGACGATGATTTGTTGGGATTTGTTGGGTATATATCAGGGGATGAATGATGGTTAGTGGTGATTAACTGTTTAACCGTTTACTGACTGTTACAGGTAATAGGACAGACCCACATTATTTGAGAATTGCACAACAAACATCAGCCCCCTCGAACAAAAACTCATCAGTCTGGCACCAAGTACTACCGGTGCATCACAGACCCGTGGCTCAAAGCCGAGCTCAGTGTCCTGTCCGGAGCGTCCAGTCGGCTTTGATGATGTTCGGGAGATGTTCTTCAAGAAAGCATGGAACAATGCATGTCTTTATATGGACCCTCATCTAAAGGACATCTTGGGGTCTGTGCCATCTACTCTGAAACCACTGTAAGTTCAAAAAAACTCTGACTTTCAAGAGGACTCCGATGTCAGGCATGTCCGGAACACTGATTCGGTGGCTCCCGCTCATGTTCGTCGGACTGGACTTCGGCAAGGCGAAGCACCAAGTGCAGCTACGAGCAAAAGCCGCTCCACTGACGACTGGTGCTGAAGGATTCTGAAGGGTAACACACGGTGATAGAACCACAATGGGCAACACATTCATCAAAGCAGGTCTGGTCAGCCTCACACCCGGGAGGTCAGCCCGGGGTCTGTCAGGTCAGCCCTGGGTGATTTGGGTGGCGATGATGAGCGGATCAGCGTTTCTGACCGGATGATTTGCCAAAACTGGAATCAACATGGCCCAGATACTCCAGACACTCCAGACGTATCTTTGCATACGCTATACCTCCTCACCACCATCGGTATGACTGGACCCGAACATGACACCCGGGCCCCCAGTCCCACCGAAACGAAACGAAGGTGCGACCTGTGAGGCCAAACGGGATACATAGGTGGAATCCATGGGGGTTTGGGGCGGCACATGACCTATTCCAGTCCCATGCATTACTTCTGGTGTCTGGGATCCATATTGACCACCTGGACGGTGGCGTGGCCTTAACGAACGGTGTTGGCCAAGCCACGCCGTGAAGGGACCAAGCCAGGTTCGTGAACATCACGGTCGTTTGGTGTCCCAAGACAGAAATGCATTCACATACACAACTGAACATGGATACAAGTCCATCTATCGATATCATGTTTTTTTTCCCGAAACAGATGTATCCATGATTTCTGCCAACTGTACTGTATCCATGCAATATCTCACCAATGTTCGCCGACCTATTCCAGCAAAGGGAGTCTCATATAGAATCTGCATCTTCCGCTCACAAATGTGGCCATGCCCGCGCTCTTGAAGAAGAAACTTCTTCACCACACCATGTCTAGGGAAAACCATTGAGACATGTCTAGGGATCTCCCAAAACCCCTCAAGCTCCAAGCCCAAAACCCCTCCACAAAAAGCAAAAGCTGGCAAGTTTCATATAGACTTCATAGGTTTTCCTAAAGGTTTTCATAGGTTTTCCTATACTTCCCAGCTGATCAGGCGTTCACCGCTGATCTCACTGCATTCCCGGACCGAGCCACTGAAGCAATTCGGCGTGTTGAGCCCATTGCATCTGCATCTGCATCTGCTGGTACTGAGCCTGGACGTGCGGAGGTTGGACGTCGGACGCCTGGGTCGTGTTCAAGAGAAACATCGCGCCAACGTCACAATATACTACAAAAAGACCGTCAACAAAAGCAACAATTAGCCAGACGCTCCAAACAGCTCGACTGATCCCTCGAAACCCTAGGGATTTGAGGGTCCGGACCCCTCGATATGAGGGTCCGGCCCCTACTTAGGAGGGTCCATGAGCGTCTGGGTAGTTGATTTCTTTCTTCTGAGAATCTTTTGGGCCCTTCATGGCAAGGGGTGGGTCCGGACCCTCCACTTGAGGGCCCAGATTCTTAGGGTAGCTTTATATATAGTTGCAACGTAACTACTGCTACTAGATGCTACAATGCTACCAGTTATCGGAATCGTCGCTTCACCGCTTCCGACCACCGAGAGGTGTACAGTAGCCCAGACAGGTCGTGTCTGGGATACATGATTGGTGGTTGAAGTCGCGGTCGATGTATATAAATATGCCAGTCCCCCGGAGTGTCTGGGTTGGAACAACACCGTCACACGCCCTGACACATCGCAGCTCGGAGAATGCTTTTCTGGCCGCGCGGCCCACTTCTTCTCCATCCACGGATTTCATGGACTCTTTTGGAGTGCAACTTCCCAAAGCACTGGAACTGCCAATTGGGGGTATAGATAACCCACTGGGAATCCACCAACTTTCTATACCACGACTCAGGGCACCTGGACGCCGAACCACTTGACCTACCTGGTGGACGACCGTCGGACTCCCTCGCGGCCTTCGGTCTGGACGACCGACCTCCTCGTGAACATGGCGGGTGGAGCGACCCATCCGAGCGAGCGCGGCCCCCGAAGGCAGGTGCGCCTGCATTTGGAGTGCCTGCTGGGCCTGCTTTTGTCGCTCCTCCTCGGCTCGTCTTTCCTCTTGCTTCTGGGCTTGCAGCCTCGCGATGCATCAAGTGATCAAATACCATGACATACGGTATCCGGCAAGCCACTATGAGGGAAATCCCACCAAACAACGGAACTGAACCACGACCACTCGTTCTGGGTGTCCTGCCCTACCCTGCACTACGACTCGGGATCTCCAGACAGGACACCCATTGGATGGTCCAGATTCTTGTGACATCTCCACCAGATCCGGACTACGACGCTGCCCACATACCCATCCGATCCGGACGATTTGGGAGGGTTCCTTGCACTTCCAAGTGGCCAAGATCGAAAAAGGCATAGCTTCCAAACTTCCTCTTCATTTGTCTTGGAGATGACAGGAATCAGGTGCTTGACAGGGCATTCTCAGTTCTCCAGCTCTGTGTGTAGCTCAAATATGAACACCGACCGCCGTTCCAACCCGGTCAAGTGACGTCCCCACCCGGGGTGTCTCTCCCAGCAGAGCGACGGGTGTCTCACACAGCGAGCGTCAGCGCTTGGGTTTGCTGCTCCCAGGAACCCCCAAAAACAAAACAAGGAAAGCACCTTTCCCTAGGTTTGGGGATTCAACCCGGGAAAATCATGCATCACACCCCTTTGTTCGCGTGAAAATTCCAGTGTTGATCTTCATTCGGATTCTCCTCCCAACTCATTGCTTCGCCCCTCCAGTCATGGTCCAACCACGACCGACACAACCGACGCCGTGCTCGTCGCCTCTGCTCTTTCCTCCGAGCCTCGGCGACCTCCTGCGGCGCGGCCGGGGCGCCGGGGCGCGAGCGACGAGCGACGCCGGTGGCGACAGACTCCGGTGGCGTAGCTAGGGTGTAGCTGGCAGCTAGGTCCTGGGTCACCAGTCACATGCAGGTGGTCGGTCCTGTTGGCCTCTGGCTAAAGCTTCCAGACATTTCGAGGAAGAAGTGTTCATACCAGCACCTTCCAACAGGTCTCCTTTGGAGGTTTGTTAGGCCCTAACAGGTTTCAATTGGTGACCTGTTGGAGGTGCTGGTATCTTGATTTCATATGCATGTTTGTTTGCTCGTTTCGGTGTCCACCTGGAAGATGGATGAACGGATGAACCATGATGCACGGCCATGTTCCACGGCGTTCCAATAGACCGGACCATCACCCGACGCCCGTCGCCCGCCGTCATGGCGTCCGATCGCGAAAACCCTTTGTGGTTCGGCTTCACTTCTTCGGAGCGAAGACACATGCAGTGCAAGACATGCAGTGCCATGCGTTGGCACAACATAGGCTGTTTCACCACGGCTGATGCCGGAACGGACACCCTTAAAGCAGGAATTATAAGTTAACATCCAAGTCCGAAACACATGGGTTTTTCGTGTCCGTCGAATAAATATACATTGCAATCATGTGCACCTTCATAACATTCCCAGACACTCCATGGGACTGCCATATATGCCGATCAATTGACCCCCCCGGCACCACCCCTGGCCGTTTCTCGGCAGTCCGGACTGGCAGTCCCGTCTGGGTCGTGTCTGGGTTTGGCGTCCAAATCCAGACCCGATCTTTGGGGCCACGCCCGATCCGTCTTCGATCTCCGTCGAATGAGTCGTTTTTTGGTTGGGAAATCCATTCTCCAAGCCGCAAGCTTCCCCAAACATTATAAGATTGAAAGACACACACACACAATGAAACCACGCCACTGATGCACACAATGACTGCTCCTCTTGTTCCTTTTCAACAGCCTGCTGCCGACGCAGAAGGTCCAGCACCTCTGCGTGACGGCACCCGATGTGATGTCCACCGTGCGGCCACGCGGAAGGAGGCTGTATCCAGAATTGAATCCATCTCCCCACCGACTTTGACACCTGAATCGCCCTGTGGAACACCCTCGAACCTTGCCTCAGACCCGCTGTCTTCCACCCGGGCGAACGCTCCGCTCTGGGTGTCACGCGGAGACATGCGTCACGTCGCGCCTGGGGGGACCATGAACCGGTCAGGCGAACGGGAGCATCGTGCCGACGCGACCGCCCAATGTGGGGCTGGCATCGTGCCCTGCATGCATTTGGGGTGGTTGATGGATTGATTTCAGGGGCTAATTTGTAAATGGTCTGGGACCCTGGGATGATTGGCATGGACCATCTTGAGGTCCACCTGATCGCATCATCCAGGTGCCAGGCCACCTGACCGATATGGTCCATGGATATCGTATCCAGGCCCTGGAAGTCGTAGTCTTTAAGTCCAGTCCGACGATTCTTTAGCACCAACATGCACCGGGCCGTTCAAACACCGTCGCGCTGCATCGGGAGTGCCCCTGTCACACCCGGTCCCTCGGGGGCATGTGAATCGCCCGCGGTCGGTGACTGGGGACTGAAGTCTCCAACGTTTCCGCTCCACCAGGCTGGTCATCAGGGCTCCAGAGAGAGAGAAGTAGAGCGCGGTACTCTTAGAAGCGGCTGTGGGTACTCAGCCAGAATGTCTGACCAATGTTTCTCATTGCATTATATACCGATCCCGTTTTCTGTGGAAGGGCTGTGAATTCTCGTTCAAACACGATCGCAAGTTGGTGAGGTGAGTGATTTCAAACCTTCTCACCGGTTAAGTGATGAGACCTCTTGTCACCCAATTGAGGCCGTCCAGGCAAACCACATGGTCGCGGAAGTATAGAGACCTCCAAAGACCAAACACCCTGGGTCCTCCCAAAAGTGGGCGCTCGGGAGTATAGAGACCTCCAAAGATTAAAAGTAGATCCCGTTCGGAAATGTATTTTTAAATAACCGTGTCTATCTATTTGGGGACCACGCCCCACGCGATGTGATCTATATGAGTTTGTTCACATCTTTCTTACCCAAAGACGTCCCAAGTCGGACCCTCCGTCGTGGGGTTGTCTGAGTGCCCTGCACATCTCTTCTGGCCTCGAACTCCACGGGTCCAGTGAAGGTCCAGTGCCGCCGTTGCGGCGGAAAAAAATCAGGTGAACTGAAGGACTTTCCGCCCGGTGAAAGATCTTCAGTCAGTGACCTCTTTGGAGTCTCTCTTTCAGTTATAAGTGACCTCGATAGGATCGAAGTGACCCCAAAAAACCCGTGGGATCTCAACGACTTTGGCGGCTGACCGGTGGACACCCAGCTGCTACCGTTAACAGCAGTTTCGGTTTTGGCGGCTGGTGCACATACGGAACTGGGCAGGAATGGGAACTTCTAGCCGGCAGGAACTGAATGGTGGACATGGGAACACCCATGTACACTCCATGTCATATATGCCTATACAGTGACCCCTGAAAACACCTAAATGTAGCACATATGCCAGCCTCATGGAGTGTCTGGGACGGTCGGGCACATTTGTTGTGGACTAAGCAAATTATCCTCCTTGGTTCCTCACAAAACTGCACGCGGCCCACACCAACCGACCGAATACACCCGTGACTGGTGACTCCTCATGTCTGAGAAAGTAGATTTCATGCATGAGAAAACCCTGGACACACATGTCATGGGACTTGTGCTTTGCACGTCTTTCGTGCCAAATGAGACTTGTGCTTTTGACGCACCAAATAGTGTTCAAGGGCCAGTGCTCAAACTTTTTGAAACCCACTGAGCACACACCTGCCTATTCATTATTCCACATGGAGCCCTAGAGAAAAAACATACAAACACATACAACACCTCAACAATTCAGATTCCGCTTCCTTTCCAACAGCTTCGAAGGCCTCCTTGGCCGGTGCACCCGCAGCATCTGCATCCGGCGCCGTTTCCTGGCGAAATCCAGTTGAACAGTTTTAGTGCTTTTTTGGAGTCCAACTGACCCTATACGACGAGGTCAGTTGGACATGCAAGTCAAAACCATGGCTAGGCCGCCTCCGCAGCAACAAGGGGGAAGTCTTCAACCCGTCAATCGAACATCGAATTGCCCAGCATTAGCCGGACTGTGCTTTGAGGCTGTAGCTCTCCCTTGCGACACTACTCGAACGCGCTGCCGCTGGCAGGTGGCAGCACGCTTTTGTCACCACTGAAACACGCCTTGCATGGGGCACTATAGGTTTGTCGCGCGCGTCACAGTGCGCTGCATTTCTTGCGGTACCTGTACACACTGTCAAAGCCAAAACTCACATCGGTCTCAGCGGCTCGCTGGGCTTGACCAAATTTTGCCACATCAGTTCGCACTTGCTTGACCTTCTCGTCTGCAGCTGCAACAGCGGCCACACGAACTTCTTCATAGTCCACAACTGCGCAAACATCGCCATCGCACATGGGCGACAAGCCATCCTGGCGCTGAGACACAGAAAGAGCTGCAATGCCACACGACAAGAGCCCCGAACGCTGCCCACCACAATATCTCCATGGCTCCGATTTGCCCCGCCCACTGAAAATCATTGTAAGAACCCCACGTCTCACGCAAAGGCACATGCGAACCTGCGGCTCTACGTAGCACCATTCACGGCTGCTGGCCCCCTGAGGGTTTGGCGCCTAAACCACTGCACTCACGCCCCATTGCCAACATGCGCAAAACGTCTAGCCCGGCATCGGAGCACCCTGTGAACACTTGCTCGTCCCAGAAGCGTGCCCATTGCAATCACGCACTGACCGCGTGAAGAGAAAACTCAACAAAAACACTCCACGCCTGAACAAATGCGGCTGCGTATGGCTGCGTACAATCGGCCATCCAACTGTCAAGACAAACATCAGGCGATCCTCTTTGCCTGACACTGGCTGGGCAATGCAGGCACCAAGCGACGATGCTGCTGCCAAAAATTTTGTCAGCGGCTTGAGTTGCTCGCGGGCAAGGGGGCTAGATGACTGGGCAGCAGCAGCCAGCACAACAAGAACGCACTTGCAAATCAAAGCCATAGCTAGACCGCCGCAGCTTCAACAACTTTTCGGGAAAGTCTTCAACCCATCCTTCAAATTTCAAGCTAAGGAGTTGATCATACCAAAAACATACAAACCACGATGAACAGCATGAGGTTTTAAGGGGTCAATCTGGACCTCCAAAACAGAAAAAAAATTGAGGACCAGGAGCGAAGCCGATGTTGATTTCTTATTGGGTCAACCACAGTTCCGGTCTCTGGTGTTTTTGGTCGGTGATAAAACACGCGTTCTGGACGAAAAGACGGGAACGGGCAGAGTGTCTGTTCACCAAAAATGACTGAGCGCTAACAGTGCCCCTGATCCAAATACAGTCCTCCAAATATATATACATAAACCAAACACATGACCCGTATACATGATCCAAACACATCTACAGTCCAATGACATGATCCAATATACAGTCCTCCAAATACATACATAATTCCAAATACATCTGAATCTACAGTCCAATGACATCGTCCAAATACATGCCTCCAGTTCTGCGAAAATGACTGAGTCGCTGTCAAAGAAAAGGGAGCTTCGGCCGGCCTTGCAAGAGTTTTGAGCTGCTGGATGCTGCGGCAAAGTTGGAGTTCTTCTACATCAGTCATGAGTACAGCTCTAAAAAATTGATCCCCAAAGCACTAAAAGCACTGACACTTCTGACCTGGACCGTTTCACAACCGCCACGCGCGTAGCACCTGCCGCTAAGCGGGGCGCCCACAACTCTGAGGTTCGAAAATGGATCTGAAGGGCTCCACCACCCTATAACGATACTTCCCTAGGGCTCCTACCATATCCTCAGGAGGTGGTTCGACCCCCCTGGCACCCACCCCTGGCCCATCTTCTCAGGAGGTGAGACAGGAGCCCTAGGGCTTGTGACCACACCGTGGTCATGGGTGGACCCCCCCACACGGCCGGTTCCGTTCATCTCCCGTCCAACGCGTTTCCCGCCGTCGTTCGTTCGGTCGATCGGGGCGCGCAACGAGGGGCCGCGCCTCCGCGAGGGGCCGTTTGGCCGCCTGGAGCGGAGGACGGGAGGAGGACGGAGGTGTCTGCAGTGTCACAGGTCGCACATGAAAGGTCACATCTTGGAGTAAATGTCAACATGTTCAAGATCCTTTATTCATGTCGACATTTACATACTGCTTAAAAGAAAACAAAGGGACCCCTTTTGCGGTCAAGAAGGTCAACTTAAGGTCTTGGTGTCGACACCAGGAAATGCCAAGGGACTCAACAGGGAGGAGCAAAGGGACAAGGGAGGAGCTGTCAAGATATGACTGAGATGAGTCAGAGGAGAAAACTGTTCTTAGGGAGGGAGTCTCATCCGACAAGGTTCCAGCACCACATGGAAACGAACCAAGATGAACCAAGTGGTGTTATTTTTTTGGCGGATGCCTACATCGATTTCCCTTAGAGCATGTTCGATCCCCTAAGAATCATTGAACCCTCGTCCTATGGAGGCTTTTGGACCGGGGTTTGGACCCTCAAAGCCTTCACCGAACTGAGGGTCCTTGATTCTTAGGGAGTTGACTGTCCATTTATCAATTTATCTTGGTAAACTTTAATTACACACATCAATAGATCGGCCAGGAGCTCACAGGGGGACTCTCAGGGCTCGGACGCTCCGGGACCTAACGCTCGCAGCTCGGACATCGGAGCTTCACCGGTGTCCTGAACGACCTTTTCCGGAGATGGCGCTGCCTGTGACGCACCCGGAAACGCCGGAACCGTGAGGCGGAAACGCCGGTGTCGTGATGGAGTATCCAGTGGCAAGGGTGACCAACGGTAATATCGGAAGGACCAACGAGACTAAAACATCTTCAAGCGATGCGAAACCTTTGGTTTACTCTTTGGTTTATGTTGCGTATATATGAACAACAAGTGCTATCATGCAGGCAGCAAGATTCTCGCTTTACTTGCCCTACGACCAAATCATGATCTCCATGGACCGAGTGTCCAAAGTTGTATATCGACTTGCAAGGCTACCCGAGAACAGCAGCGACATTCTGCACGAATCACCTCTCCCCACGTCCGGTGACGTTTTTTGCCCGAATCCAAGGCCTTCTCCTCTGGGGCTTGTGACCTAGGTGATCACAAGCAGTGTGTGCCCTAGGGATCCCACATACCTTCTCAGGTTCGGTACGGCTGACCTTCTCAGAGGGTATAATGGGTATATCCTATGGGGTGGGTGTGTATATCCAATATATAGACCCCCTTTCTTGGTCCTTTCTGGCTGGGTAGACGATGTCCCGAACCACACCTTCCACGAGGTCGGTCGAGCTGCCACCCTGTGCCTCGTGTGCGCCAACGCGAGGCAAACGCCCGACCCCCTCGTTCGACCGGATTGGTTCGGGTCCAGACCCTACTTAGGAGGGTCCAGGGTCGCGTCTGGGTGTACCATTTGGTTGGGAGCGCCCAGGAACCGAAGAAAGGGGCGGCGGGAGAAACTGATTCTTTGATAGTGAGTCAGAGTAAACATCATCTGTAAACATTGAGATCTTTGTCTTTGTCAATTCATTCCAATTATATATAATAGAAGACTAATTTCTATCATTCTAGATCCTATGCTTTTGACATTGACTTTTGAGCACAGACCTCCCACTTCCCCTTTCTACACTCCACCGTCGACAGTCCCCGGACCGTGCAGGGTCTTCGGGGAGCAAGTGCCGTGCTCGTTCCCGACGCAGTCGCTGCCTCGGTGCGACCAACGTTGCGACTCGACGCGTATAGTCGTTCCCGTCGTTCCCTGTTCCACGAAGTTGGGTAGAGCCGGTGTCAACCTCTGTAACTAAGAGTTTTGAATGCAGGGGGCGTGACGGTCGATTTCCTAGTCACGCCAATGAAGCTGTCTGTGTGTGTGTGTGAATTTCAATGAGAGCTATGCTTCGAACGACGGATGGCATCGGCATCGCCTATGACACCTGGTTGGTGGGATCCGAATCTTCAGGAGGGTGCCCAGTGACTCGTCCGTTCTGCATGCGTGCCAGGCATGTGTGATTGGTTCCTGGAGTGAGCTATTTTACCCTAGGGATCCAAGTACTAAGTACCTTCTCAGAAGGTGATTGGAGACAGAGTTATGCAGGTTTGGAGGGTCCAAGTACCTTCTCAGAAGGTACTTGGATCCCTAGGCTTACAGGATGAACACAAGGTCTTGCGTTCGTTTCACCGCAAACGAGTCGAACGGCTCCTCAAAGAGGTCAAGCTTTGAGGTTTCTGTAGAAAGGCACCGATGCAAAACACACAACCACACCGATGCAGAACACCCCACAAGCCAATTCGATTCCACACATGTCTCAAACATATATTCTTGTCAAAGAAAGCAATGCTTTCGGGCCCCGGGCTTCCTTTCCAAGCTGGATTCCTTCCGGTTCCTAGATGAACGATGAACAGTTTTGAACACGCACGGAATCACTTGCAGCATGGGCCCTGCCTGCTTCGGCTGCGGCTTTTGCTTCTTCTACCCACGTCGTGCTTGGGTATTGTTGCCGCTTCTTTGGCTGCCTCTTTGGCAGCTGCTTCTTTGGCAGCTGCCTCCTTGGCGGCTGCTTCCTTTGCAGCTGCCTCTTTGGCTGCTGCCTCTTTGGCGGTTGCCTCTTTGGCGGCTGCTTCCTTTGCAGCTGCCTCTTTGGCGGCTGCTTCCTTCGCAGCGGCCTCTTTGGCGGCTGCTTCCTTTGCAGCGGCCTCTTTGGCGGCTGCTTCCTT